AAGCTTAATGCTTAAACTTTAAACTTCAATTTAATCTTTAGACCTACAGGAGAAATGGTATTGCCTTCCTAGTCTTAACCTGGAAAAAGCCCCTAGTCTAACTTGTCCAAAATGCCTAATCTGTTTGGGTGGTTTGGATTTTTTTTATCTTCATTTTCAGATCCTGTAAAGGTGCCAAATTTCCAGAAAGTACTAAACATCTGCTCTTTAAAAACTGGGGAACCAAAAAAGGAGGCACTGAAAAACGCATTTACTAATGGAAATATGAGCCCTTATGTTGGAATAGTTCAATTTAATGTCATCTCTGCTGACAGGCCTAATACTTCAAACTGTGCTCACATTTGACTTTAGGAAGCTTTGTGAACTAACTGATACAGGGGGCTTTGTGAGAATGCAAGTTTAATTGAAAAGTTTGCACACCGGCAGTCTGGGTTTTGTTTCAGGTGCACAAAATACAATGTGGGTCTTTCCAGGACATGGCTATATTCATGGGAGAGATTATTCTTGAGTACCTCTATGAATGAAACCTCTTTTCTACTTAACATTTCCTTTTCTTTCCAGGTTCTGAAGCTATTGATAACAGCACAACCCCCTTCCCTCCCTCCCCCTACATCCCCCTCTCCAAAAAAAACCGTATACAAAGAATTCTATCCTGAATAGAATATATAATTTCTCATTGTGTGTGTGACCAGACCCACAGACTAATACATCTTGCTTGGAAAATTAAGCTAATTTAGGTGGAGCTGGAGAGACAGACTAAGGAAACCAAACACTTAATAAAAACATGAAATGGAACAACTCATGTTCTATATTATTTTCTTGTGTGAAATGCAAAGGGAAAGGTTTTATGGAGTTAAGGCCAGTTAATTATTTTTAATAAGCTAATGAAAAATCAAAAGGGGAAAAATGAGTCTTGTTTTGCCTCCAGTAGTTGGTATTCAATTTATTTTAGCTTAGATTACTGTAGTTATGCCTGTGAAAATAAATGCATGCAGTGTGTTAAAGCAATACTAGTGGAAGTAATCTGTCAAAAATGAGACGTGGTTATACATTATTTGCTTCAGAAGAATAAACTCACCTGTCAAAATAAGAGAATAATTAAGAGGTACTTACTTTGCCCCAAACTTAAAAGACTGCATGACTGGTGCAACTTAATTTTTTATAATAAAAATAAAGTTGTCACCTTTTGTGAGACAGGCTATTACAGGAAATCCACTGAAAAGAGCACTCAGGCTGGATTTGACTACACTATGGTCATCTGCTATACTTTACAAGTATTACAAGGATAGGAAATGTTTGGTAAGGAGAAAAGGAGGAAGCTTATTTACAGTTCTTATAGGTCCATTTGGTCCTTTGAATTTTGAATTCAATTCCCTAATATTGTTTCATCTATATATATAAAGGGCTTACCCCATCTATCTGTGTGTCTGTTTATCCATAATGCTCTTTAAGGGTGCCAGGAGCCCAGCATGGCAGGGAGGACAGAGGGAGGGACCAGTTGAGGAAAAGCAGGAGCCGGGCTCCTGGCTACTGTGAGGCTACCATGAGAAGACAATTAGATGCACAATGCCGTCAAGAATGCCGTGCAAATGAATTGCAAGAGGAGGCCACTGTGAAAAGACAATTAAATACATGACATAATCAAGAAAGTTGTGCAAATGAGTCCCAAGAAAATGCCTCTGTGAGAAGACAATTAGATGTACAACGCCATCAAGAACATTGCCATTCATCCATCATTCTTGATGGGCAATTCACTATTATTTTAATATTGCTCTCCCTTTTAAGAAGAAATGCTTTCTTCTATGATCTTGCCTGATGGGAAGAAATAGGAAGTAGCCAAAGATTTGGAAAAGTCTAGACTGTTAGCTGGAAGATTTGTTATTTAAAATGGTCTGCACGTATGTATATGTACAATTAATAAGGTACAAGTTGATGGAGCTTATGAACATGTTGCATAGTGCTTGAGTTCTGTAGGACTAATGAAACGTGTTTTGTGCTGCAGATGGCTTCTTGAAGAATGCAGGGTTGATATGCACTTTATAGACTTGCTAAATAATAGGGCTGTGCAAAGCTTCCATCACTGATTTCATTTGGCAGAGACTTGGCCCGATTTGGCGACTGAACCTCCATATCCGAATTGAATCAGGAGACCCTTTAATCTCTCCGAATCGAATCAGAACCCTCCAAATCAATTTGGAGAGATTCAGAAAGATTTGACGATTCTGACAGACAGCTTAAATTTTTTTCTACATGCCTCAGGGTACCAGGCGGCTTATGATTCCTGAGATGCTGGAGCGGATGGAGTGCGAATGGGTCCCCAGCACACTCGGCAGCAGACCCAGAAGTGGACCAGAAGCACTTGCGATCCACTTCTGGGTTTGCCGCCAAGCACACAGGGCCCCCCACTCCGCACTTCTGTGGGACTCTCCATCTGCCCCAGCATCGCACTGTTCATGAGCCATGCCTGGTACCTCGAGGTATGTAGAAAAAACATTTAAAGCTGTGTCTATGGCCAAATCGCTGATTCTTTGAATCAGCATCGAATCTTCAGATTTGGATTTGGCTGAATTGAATTGGGGGCAGTGATCCGAATCACTGAATCGAATCACTGTCCCCAATTCAGGCCGAGTCCAAATGTGATCCAAATACAGCCCATTTTGCACAACCCTACGAAATAAGGTATATAAAGCTCAACTTTTGTGAACTAGAGCTCACTTCATGAAATTCTGTGAAAAGACAAGCACAGAGCAATGTATAAAGTAGAGTGAGTCATTTAAATACAAAAGGTGGGGAGAGAAGGAGGGGCAGCAGTGCTTGGAGAGGTAAACAAGCTAAGAACCTATAGGGGGAAAAATGGAATCACAAAAGCTAATCCAGGTAATGGGATAGGAATCTGTAGTCCCTGTTTAAAGCATACTTAACACAGTCCAGTCTGTGAATGATTTCTTGTTCCACAATTGCCTGTTAATGCTGGTTTTTAAAATGTTGCTGCCTGAGAACAGCAAACCTGAGGTCAGCAATGGAATTTACGGGGAGGTTAAAGTGTTCAGCCACAGGCAGTTTTTTCTTTCTGCGGCTGTCAGATCAGCATTCATTCATTCTTACAGACAGAGATTGCCCTGTTTGTCTGATGTAGACATCAGAGAAGCACTGTAAGCAGGTGATAACATATTTGATAACATTGATAGAGTTGCAGGTGAATAAACTTTGAATGTTGTACTCCTTGTTATTTAGTCCAGTGATGATCTGGTCTGTAGTGTGGAGGCACAGCAGGTATTTGGGTCCATTGCAAAGTCCAGTGCCTCAGTTAGGATAGGAGGTAGTTAGTTTGCTTCTTGAGAGACTCAAGGTTTAACAGATACCTGGTTGGCTTGAACTTTAAAGACAACGTGAGCCATGCAAGCCTGCCAGGAACATGACAAGAATTCAGTTAGAGAATTAAAATCACCTGTGGAGCAGAGCACTTATGAATAATAGCAGAACTCCAAAGGCTTGTTTTTATGATTCGGGAACAAAGCAGCTCATGAAAGGTCTTCTGCTCTACTTGTGCTACAAGGAGGTGGGCTCTGCCCCAGCTCCAAATATGTCAGTGTAGGTAGGAATACTGTGAAGTGGGAAGCAGAAAAAAGTGGCAATCAAACTTAAGGCTACTCAAGTTCAGTGTTTGGAAACTCCTTTTAGGAGCGCTATGAGGGCGTGACCTATATACTCTAGCCTAGAAGTAGCAAAAGCAGTGTTAGTGGGTCAACAACAGACCTGTTCCCTTCTCAGTGGGCGCATCTAAACGTTCATTAATGTGCCTTAGATACTGCGCATTTAGTTTAGTACTTCCTTAATAAAGTTACTGAGCAGTAGCACTGGTACCTAGGTATTTGGTGACACTTACTGCGTATTAGCCTAATAACACTGCACAGTAGGCTATTACCACAGCTTTTGCCATGACATGCTACTGCACGGTGTTATTAGGGTAATGTGCAGGAAGTGTCATGGAGGAAGCACCCAGTGAGGACTTTTACTAGTGAGTTCCCACCTCACAGCCCAGTACTTGGATTTTGTTCAGGGTTGTCAGTAGGGAAATTAATTTCACTTTATGTGCATGAATCCTAGCTGAGCTATGAAAGCTATAAGGAAAGATTAGATTTTTATTTCTCCTTAGTTTTAGTTTTTCCCCTCCACTTTTATAACAACATTTATTACTCTGTCATCTTTCTTCTTTTTGTTCACTGAAATATAGTGGAGAAAACCGTGCTATTTGGACTTGGTATTTATCAAGTGCTTCAGTGCCTACATCTCTTCTTTGATAAATGAGCTACTTTTTAAAAAAAAATTTTTGGTAAGTAGCTTGTTTCCAATATAGTAACATTGACTGA